CTATTCTGGGTCTCTTATTTTTCCAGATGAATTTCATGACTGTTTTTTTCTATTTCTATGAGAAATGTCATTGGGATTTTGATTGGAATTGCATTAAATCTGTATAGTGCTATTGGTAGTATGATCATTTTGACAATATTAATTCTGCCTATCCAAGAACAAGAGAGATCTTTTCATCTTCTAAGGTCATCTTTAATTTCTTTCTTTAGTGTTCTGTTGTTTTCATTGTAGAGGTCTTTCACCTCTTTCATTAAGTTGACTCCCAAGTATTTTACTTTATTTTATTTTAAAAATATTTATTTATTTATTTTAGTTTTAGGTAGACACAATATCTTTATTTTACATTTATGTGGTGCTGAGAATCGAACCCAGTGCCTCACGCATGCTAGGCGAGTGCACTACCTGCATCAGCTATGGCTTTAAACACCATCTACAGGGACATGACTCCCAACTCTTCATTTTCAGCACTGATTTCTGCCCCTGAGCTCCAAAACCAAGCACTCAACTGCCTACTGGACCTCTCCACCTGGACAGCACTCAAAGCCTTGACACACCAAGAACTATTATTGGCTGTCTTCTTCCTGGGGTCAACTTTATTCTTTCTTATTTCTTTTCTTTCTTTTTTTGTTTCTTTCTGGTGGTGTTTAGAGATGGATCCCAGATCCTTGTGCATATTAAGCAAAGCAAGCACTTGGCATTGAGATACACCCCCACATCCTTTTGTAATTCTTGTTTCAGTAAATAGCCTCACAATTCAACCAGCTGCCCTGAGGCAGAAACCTGAAGAGTCCTTTATTTCATTCACTCTTACTGTCCTCTCCAGTCAATCATTAAATCCTACCATTTTTATCTTCTAAATCTAGTATTTTTCAGATCCATCTCTTCCTCTACATCCTCACACCTTCCTTAGTTCATGCTACCTACACCTCATGTACACATTACTATGATCCACTCTTAACACTGTAGCCAGAATGTGCTTCTATCATTTCAATTTGGATCACTGACTCCATCCCTGACTTTCTACCACCTAAAGGATGCAACTCAAGTTTCTTAGAATGACATACAAAGTCCTTAAGGACAACTTTTCCAGTATTAAAAGCATTCTTCACCACAACCATACTAATTGTGTTCTTTAGCTCTTTTTTTTTTTGTGCACTCCCATTCTCTCCTCTGAAGGCTTTGTTATTACAATATTTATTGAAGGGCTGGGGGCACAGCTCAGAGGCAAAGCACTTGCATAGCTTGCAGGAGGCCCTAGGTTCCATCTCCAGCACAACAACAAAATAGGGCTGGGGATGTGGCTCAGTGGTCTAGTGCCCTGGAGTTCAATCCCTTGTATGCCATACCCAAAATGCCACTGGTATTTTGATGGGAATTGTATTGATTCTGTAGATCACTTTTGGCCATATGGCCATTTAAGGATATTAATTCTGCCTATCTATGAACACAGGAGCTCTTTCCATCTTCTAGTGTTTTCTTCAAATTACTTTTTTGAACATTTTGCTTGTAGAGGTTTTTCACCTCCTTGGTTAGATTTATTCCTAGGTATTTTATTTTTTTGAAGCTGTTGTGAATGGAATTATTTTCCTGATTTCTCAATGGGTTCATTATTGGTACGTAGAAAAGCTATTGATTTTTCCTTTAATTGGTTCTTTTTATTTACACATGAGTATTCATTTTGGTATAATTATAAAGTATGGAATATAATTTGTTCTAACTCAGTCCCCTGTATTTCCCTTTTCCCTCCTCTCCTTCCTCCCCTGTACCTGAGAAACTGATGTGACTCCATTTTTGAGAAACCAGCTTCTACCTCAAGGCCTATCCTAAGGAAGGGGGCGTGACCCTTGTCCTGGCAAAAACCCACAGAGCACTCCTAAGCACATACTCACCCTGCTGAGTTGTTTGTCTGCAAATAACAGGAGAGATCTGCAGCACCAGGTGTCCCTGACTCAGTTAGGCTAGGTGAGGACCCATAGCAACCCCCTAGCAACCACCAATCAGCATGAGATGGAAAAT